GGGAGTACAAACTTAACTTTATGGGCGCTGGGTGGTTAATGAAAGCAGCTGAGCAGGGGAGCAATGCTAATAGAATGACAATTACGAAGAGTAACTTTTCAGTCTGCAGAATTCTTACAAGGTGAGGCTATAGGGAAAACCTGTTACACATGTGTGAGACAGTGAGAAAAATTCCAGGGGCAGAAAGGAGATTGGAAAGGGGAAACCTTTCAACACTACAGGTTATTTACAGATGCTATTTCATCTAGCCTTCAGCAAGGTAGGCCTTATCCCCATAGGCAAGGAAACCGAGGCTCAGAGAGTGTATTAACATGCCATGGAACCAGAATTCCAAGCCAGGTTTTCCAGTCTCCAAGGCTTATTCTTTCTGATAGGCTTTAATAATTGATTGACTATGAAATATTTAGGAAGAAATTGAAGATAATTTCAAATCAATTGCATATGATTGGAAAAATGTTAACATTACCGAAAACAGAGCCAGTTTGCAAAAGATAATGAATTTAGCTTTCAGTATATTGAATTTGAGGAAACATGAGTGCCAATATGTATGAAATAATTAGAGATGTGGGTCTGGAGTTTAGAGGACAAGTGAGGGCTGTAGAGAAACATTGGGAAGTCAGTGGAAACAATGGTAGTGGATGATCTGTGCTAGGCCCAAAAAAGTAAAGCCTTGGAACAGAATCAGGAGAAGGACAGGATTAGAAATTGGAGTCAGTGAAGAGGACAGAAGGTGGAACAGAAACGTTAGCAAATGAAATAAGGAATGTACAAGTAAAAAAAATTTTTTTGAAAGTAGGGTCTACCAAGTGCTACAGAGCTCAAAGAGCTTCAGGTGTATGTTTGTACGGATATATAGCTGGAAAGGAGGGAGTCAGGGGTGAATGAAAGCTAAGAGGCAGGGTGATATAGGAGAAACTGACTAGCCTGGGAGTGGGAAGATGTGGGCTGTAGCACCAGCTCTGTTATTCTGTGACCTTAGTAAAATCACCAAACATCTCTAGGACTCAGTTTATAAATTCGTGAAATGAGAGGTTTAGTTGAGATGATTTCCGAAGGTCACTCTCAGTGTTGAAATTCTAAGCTAAAAGAGAATACGTTTCAAAATATAGAGACAAGATTAGGTACGCGATTTTATGATTCATTTATTCATTCAGTGTCTATTATGTTTGTGTAATTTATTATGTCTATGTCTCTGTGTAGCAGGAGTGGGGAGAAAGCATGATCTCTAGCATAAAATTAGAGAATTTAAGAGTTGCTCACAGAAACTACAAGCTAGAAAGTTCATATACTATAAGAAAGAATTAAGAGGCTGGCTATGAAAGCTTAAGAAAAAGAGGAAGCTTGTTTGCATCCTGGAGAAGGGAGGAGAATGGTGAGGACTGTGGAAGGACCCATCAAAGAGCTCTCGAGAGCCTTCGCATGCAGATACCAGTACAGATTAAGCTGAGAATTAATTCACTAGTGAGCGAGAACCGTGGTGTCCTTCATTTCTTCTGTTGAAGGTCATTATTTAAAGCAAGGCAAACTGACCTGGTAACCAACCTAGGATTAAGCGAGGTGTGTCAAATCTGAGCTATGCTACTTACTAACCTAATGATCTTGGGCAAAACTCTTAAATTCCCAGCTTCAGTTCCTGCATTTGTAAAGTGAAGATACTACCAGTAACTACTTCATTCACAAGGTTGCTGTAGGGAATATATGAGTTAATGCATTGGAGTTCTTAATGATCTGGGTATGATACTAAGTGCTCAGTAAATGTTAGTCATTGTTCTTTTCCTGAAGGGCAGATATTATTAGACCAGCTATTCCTGACTCTGAGAGGTCCCATTATGGTAGGACACTGAACTAGATTACCAGACCTAGGTTTGATTTCTGGCTTTGTATTTAGTTTGTTGCTTAACTTGGTGGATTGGCTCTGTATTGGGGCACCCCTTTAATCCTTAGCCAGGCTCTTTACAACTTTGCCTCAACTTTCACTTCCTGCTTATACTGAGTTTTTAGATTATCCAGTAGTGAAAGTTCAGGGTCTTCTCAGTTCTTTTCTGAGAACGTGTCCTGTCCTGCGTATGTGAGTGGCTTTCTAAATTCCCTAGTATACATGACCACTTTGGAATGCCCTAACTTCCCAAAGAAACCATCTCGCTGGCTTTTCCTCCCCGTCTTTAGGGGGTTTCTTACATGTCTCAACTGTTATTCTTAGCCCTAGGTGGCTGAAGGGTTTTTTTGATTTCCTTAGTGTTTTCAAGCAATGCCCACTTATATCTATCAATGGCACCTATCAATGCGCATTTATATCTATTTCTTCCCTAAACAGCACTACTCAGAAAATTGCCTGAGGACCGTTGTAAGGACCAAATATGGGACTGTGTAATACCAGAGATGATACATAGGCAACCTTATGTAAGGAAATATGTTACTTGTTTTGTACACATCACAGTTACATCAGAATGATTTTTTAAATGATGGGCAAAAAATTTAACTTTGTATTTTTTTCTTGATCTTCATTTGTACCTACAAAAGTGAACTTTTCTTTTACCCCTGTAGGTGTAGAAAAATCTCCCCTTCTTCCCTTCTAGGTCTTTGGCTGGTCTAATAACTTAATTGACATGAGACAGGTTAACAGGAGACAAATTTAATTTTGTATGTACCGGATCCCCATAAAATGAGATTCAAAGAAGGGAACCGGAGCTGAAAGCTTTTATAACGTTTAGACGAAGAAACAGTAAATTTGTGAAGAATTGATAGGCAGAGGGGTTTGTGGTGGGGTAGTAAATGGTGAAGAAGTAACAAGGTTTATTTATACACTTTTCTCAGCCCTAAATTCTCTCTTCTGGTACAGGGAGGCTACCTTTCACATGGGCAATTTGCTTTCAGGGGAACAAAGGAGGGTCAGAGTGTCCTTTTGCACCCACTGTTTCTCAAGCACCATTAATACAAAATAATCAATATGCCAACACAGCATATTTTGGGGGGACATATTCTGAACACCTACACCACCAGCCTTAGTAGTTCTCTAGCATCAGTAAGAGAAAATTAGTGATTTTATTTCAACATTTTATTTAACCTTTTCATATTACACAATTTACTGAAAACACTTAAAGTACCAGTGAGACAAAAACTTAAAATACAGACAACACACCTCTTCTAGCTGAGGTAATACTGTATAAAATTCATTGTCAAATCACAAGTTTTTGTTACTCTATTATACAGCTTGGTAGCATATCAGTGATAATCAGTGACTCAAAAGAAAGACATTATATATCCAGTTTATATGAGAGAGAGAGAAGGAAAGGGAGAGAAATGTATAACTACTTGAAAGAGTAGAGGAACCAGAAATGCCGAAGTTAAGTATCACTTAAATTCTGATGCAATGTGAGTTGTTACCATGGAGATTTTCTTTGCTTATATATTATTAAAAATAATTAATTCAAACCTGGCTATCTTTTCAAGACCTCCCAGTATGCAAACTGAGGGTAAACATCCTCCACAATCTCATTTGAAAAAAACAAAAAGCCATGTGTTTTCTTTTATTTTCTGAGCATATGTATGAATACACGGAAATACTGAAGTGTTTGTGCCTAGTCAGTTAGTGAATGCTTTGTGGGGTTATAACAAACACAGTGCTGAAAAGACAGCTGTGAGCAGGCAAGCACGTATGCAAAATGAGCAAGACCTCTTGCCTCTCAGTTTTACTTCTGAAAACACTGGCTATCAAACTCCACAATCCGTAACCATTTTGAAATTAGTTTGTTTTTTACTATTTCATAATTATAACATCTAGTGCTGGAGTTCGGAGGCTTAAATTATGTAAACTTAGAGATTATTTTTCTGGAAACCATAAAATAGAGTCTCTCGAAGGAAAGGGATTTATAAACAGATTTAGTAAATCAATTCATAAATTCACTTAACATAGTAAGTTAATATTTACCAGGTATTTCAGTTTTTAATTCCATTGCTTTCAGACTATTTGACTCAAGTTAAGAGACCCAACAATGTAAGGCAAGTATATCATACTTCAGCTCCATGGCCCACATCTAGCTTATGTAAGTGGATCACTGGGACTGTGGAACATTTTAATAGACTCTTACTCATGATACTATTAATCATACTGAATTAAAAATGTTATTCTAAGCTATTATCATCTTAAGAAATATAGCCCATAGGTATTTGATTTTGGCACCTATATGCTAAAGAAATAGAGCAATTTTAAAAGGGAAAGAGCATGTCTAATGTTTATTTTGCTTATTCCTTTCTAAATACAGTTAAACATATCTGGCCGGCATTTAAGTGCTTGAATTTTAAGGATTTTTTATATTTCAACTAATTTGGAGTGGTACTAAAAAAATTAGTATTTTACTTGCCGCCTTTCGATTTTAGGTTGTTTTTGAATTTTATTTTTTTTTATACAGCAGGTTCTTATTAGTTATCTATTTTATACATACTAGTGTATATTTGTCAATCCCAATCTCCCAATCAATTTTAGTTTTAATATTAATTTGTATTCTTTCTCCAAAGAGACAGAAAATAAGACCAATCTACTTGTATGTGGTTCAGCCTATCAGTCTTGTAAATGATTCCACGAGACAGATGTATATAACTGAATCTTCATAACTTTCATAAAATAATCTTGAAATATCTAGTAATTAGCTAAAGGATCCCAGATTTTCACTAGTAGATACTTGATTCCATTCAGATTCTGTTCTTCTAGAAATTTTCTGAAACTTGAAATTTTCAGAAGTTTACTCTTGTCTGAAACTATCTTCAATTATAATAAAAATGAAAGGTTTTTAGGAAGTTGGACATATTATAAACATCTAAAAATTTACTTATTAATTCAAAAGCAATGAGAACAACTTAAGTGCTGTAAACTGGACAAGGTAAACCATAATCTGAACGAGTACAACTTGTGTTTAATTTTATTTTCTCCCTCATGGTGGAATGGAAAAATGGCAAACTTACATGTTTTAGTCATTAAAAAAAAACCACACATACACAAGATAGTAGAGAGAGTTGCCACAAATGTATTGTTTCACACTTTTTGGATGTCAATTTTTGGTTCCAACATTATTAATCACAAAAAGTAACCATTTCACTGACATTTAGTAAGTAAAATAGATCTCAGTAAAATAGAACCTGCATTCTAGGCTGGACAACATCAGTGCAAAGTCACTGTACTTCAGTGTGCTAAACGGTTCCTAGTAAAACTGATCATTCACATGAGGAAATGAAACTTTAAAACATTTAATGATGGATTAATCAAATGCATATCATTTTACTATATGAAGAGCCTCACCCACCAAATTCAATTTAGGAACAGACAGAATTTTTTTATTAAACTGATGACCAACTTTTTTGCTTATTATTTGTTGAAATTTACCTCTTTTCATCACCCATAAAAAGCAAGGACAAACTTCAAGGTTTCTATTTTTCATCAGTATTCATCCAAACAAGTTTCAATAAAAGGTCATAAGGATAAACCTGCATTTCCCTTTATGTATATCTAGTTTGCAGAATGAAACTATGAACAAAAACTAAAAGAAAATAAAAATTGAAGCCATCATTTAATGATGACTATATGGAAGGCAAGAGGCACAAATTCCCAGGTGAATTTTAATCGTGTCTCCTCTAAGTCAAGTCATTCAGAAACGAATGGCAAGTGATATTCACTTTAGTACACAATTTGTAAATGTGGAAGCAGGAATAGTTGTCATGATTATTTTATTATTCTATCTCTGTTAAGAGTGGTTCTAAAAACAGTCTGATGATTCAAAAGGCTAGATAGGCAAATCAAACTTTATAAACATATGACAAATTCTAAGTTGCTGGCACTGAAACGGTGGGTTTGCATATGGACAAGTAAGCTGTTTGCCTTAAATCTTTGGGGTACCTTGGCTTTTAATATTTTGTTCTGATATTCAAGCAGAAAATACATAACTGCATTTTATACAGTAAGCTGTTCTAAGAGTGGAAAATTTGTAGGGATGAAGGCAATTCCAAGTTGTATGTATGCATATAAGTGGCTTTATAGAATAAATGTACAGCCATTAAAGTTATACAAGGACAGTGCAATTTAAAACCCTCAGCTCCTGTTTACAGATTGCCAGATCTAATCTTTCTTGTCCGGGTTACTGATAACATAACTTATTTGCTTAAAGGTAAACTATGACCTCCTGCTACTATACACTGTATTAAGAATGACATACCAATATCAATCTAGAAGGTGAACTAAACATGTAATAAACATTAAAGTCATATGAAATTTTGTTTTCAGTTTGCTGACAAAACTTTGCTTCTTCCCGAGATCATTTTTAGTTCAGCATTAGTGCTACACTAGCTAGAATTTAATTCATATGAGTGTCTTTATTCAGTTTTCAAATTTGGAATACTTTGAATCCAAAATATATACCAATAACCTTTTTAAAAAGTGAAGAGTCAATATAATCAGCATGGACTTTTTCTACCAGTTTCACTTTCTAATCCATTTCCCACCAACGGTATTTCACTCTTATCCCTCATAATTTCATAACGAAGTATCCAGATGATGTCTTTCAGACTAACCAGGAATCTAAATCTCAAACACTATTTTGAAGAAGAGTAGAGTAAATAATCTTGGTAATCTGTAAAACAGCTGCGTGCAGCGTGTACTGTATTACGACAGCACCAAACCCTTTATAAAAACCAAGCATTCCTTCTTCCTGCCTTATGGTATTGATACAGTCTCTCATTCCCTCATACTGTGTATTAATTGGAAGCACTTCATAGCCAAGGTCTGTATTGTCAATTATTGTGCGTGTTCCTTGAATGTGAAGGCGGTGCAAAACTGTTTCCAATGGGTAAAGTATAACATCAGAGCAAAGACTGGCAGCAAAGTTAGCAATAAGCTCTGGAAAATAAGCATCCAACATACTCTGCACGGGGCTAGTGCTCTCAGCTAGGTGGCTATTGTAAGTCTTTCTCTTTAGAATTAGCAGGACAATCTTCTGAATGACTGAGCTGATGATGTAATGAAGAACCCCATGCAGCACCGTAGGGAAGATCAAGGAAAGAAGCGGAAGTAGTCGTTTGCTGTGGGGCACTCCCAAGCCTATCACTCTTCCAATTCCTTCTTTAATACATTCCAAAATGCCAGTATTGTCTCGAATTATCTCACTCTGAAATGAAAATGATGAAATGAGTAAAAGTTAACATCTGCTTATTCTGCCACAAAGAAGGATTCTTTCTAGGTCCCTTTTAAATCCTCATTTTCTGACTAAAGAGGAAAAACATCAATGGTTTTGCAAACTTCAAATGTTATCTAGGCATTAGATTCTTTTTTCAAATAAAATTTCACAAGACAGATAGCAGTGAAGCTGGGAGCTATTCTTATTGGGGGAGGGAAACGAGAAGAGATGTGGAGGGTGATACACCTGGTTTCCCCACCCTCAAGAACCTCCTCAGGACACATTTTGAAAAGCAACAAATATTGTACATGACATTGAAGAAGTAGCACAGTGCTTGGAGTTCTTAAGCATTGCTTTAAAACCCACCTCCATTATGCACTTACTGGTCATGTGACCATGGGCAGCTTACTTAACTTCTCCTAAGAGTCAGTTTACTGCTCTCTAAGAATGGAATTAGGCCTACCTACCTTCTCTGCACAGAGTTGCTGGGAGGATTAAATGAAAACAGGCCTGGCGCCCAGAACGCACTCAGTAAACGTGAGTCATTATCATCTGCACTGTCTCTGCGTTTTTACAATTACGGGGATATGTATAAGGAAGTTTGTGATACTGGTTACAGAGGCATGGACAGGCAGAAAAGGAACAACTAAGAGGCCATTTGGCTGGAGCAACGACTGAAGAAGAGAACAGCAAGAAATGAAGTTAAAAAGGTAGTCAGGGGCCATACCATGCCACTGTGCAGACCTTGGCCTCCAGTCAGATGGGAAGTGACTAGTTGGTTTTAAGCATAAGATGGGTAAGATACAATTTATGTTATACTGGCTGTTGTGTAGAGGAGAATGAGAGCAGAGGCTGAGAAACCAGTTAAAGTTATGATGGTGGACTGGACTAGCAGGTAGCAAAGGAAATAAAATGCTGCAACTGTGCTTTTATCCTAAAATTATAGCCAATCGGAATTACTGGTAGATTTGATTTGGGGTGTGAAAAAGAGAAGACAAGGATGACCTCAAAGCTGTTGGCCAGAGGAAGTGGAGGAATAGCAGTGCCTTTTACTGAGTTGGACAATATTCCTGGGGTAGCAATTTGGGGGAGAAGATCAAGAATTCAGAAATGTTAAGTCTAAGGTGTAAACTCCAAGTGGAGTTTATAACCTAGACTACAAGGAAAAGGTCCGAGCTGCACGTACAAATGTGAGAGTTTACAGTGAAGAAAACATATTTAAAACCATGAGACTAAAATGAGCTCACCTAAACTAATCCAGTTCCCTGCCTCTGGCCCCCTTCCCAGTCCAGTTTATTTTTAATACAGCAGCCAAACAGATCCTATTAAAGACACAAGTTAGATCATGTCACCCTTCGCTCAAACCTACCAAAGACTTTCCATCTCCCTCAAAGTAAGGCCAAATTATTACAGTGATCTTTAGTGTCCTGTGTGATCTCTCTCCCTCTTACCTCTCAGACCTCATCTCCTCTTGTTCTCCCTTCCTTAGTCAGCTTCAACTGTATTGGCCTTCTTTTTGCTCCTCAAACACGTAAGATATAATCCTACCTCAGGGCCTTTGCACTTGCTTTCCCTCTGCTTAGAATGTTCTTCTCCCAAATATCCATGTAGTTCTTATGTTCAGACCTTTACTCAAATGACTTTTGCTTCTGAGAACTTTCCTGATCTTAAAAAAATAGTAACATCCCTTGCTACCCATTACACATCTTATTTCATTTCCTTGTTTTATTTTTTAGCACTTAGCACCATGAAGTATCCTTTTGTTTATCTTGTTTATGTCCATCTTCCCCACAGGAATGTAAGTGCCATGAGGGCAGAAAGTTTTTGTTTGCTATGTTATCCCCAGGGTCTATAACAGTGCCTGATATAGGTTAGCACTCAATAAATGAATTTAATTCATTTATTTAAAATTTTAAAATTTAAAATGAGCTTTTAAAAAAAATTAGCAGTTAAGAAAGATTAGCTGAAAGGTAAAGTCAGTAAAAACCTTGATTTAATACTATGCTGAGAAGTCTGAAATTGATCTTCGAGAATATGAGTCAACGTGGATCCTTAATCAGCAAAAGGATATAAGCACTGCAATTTAAGAACACTAATCTTGCATGAATATGTAGAATGGACTTTAAAATGCAGGAAACAGAACAAAGATTCTTAGTAAAGACAACAGATCACTAGGAAGTTCATATTGAAGAATGGTGGTGTTCTTTAGGAGATCTATATATATGTGTATTTTTCAAGGGAAAGACTGTTCTCAAAGAGATCTGAGCTCCCCAGACAGGCAAAAAACCACTGAACATGGTAGGGAGAAAGAAGCTGATGTAACAAGAAGGAAAGAGAATGGTGGCCTATCGGTGGGGAGGAGCAGACAATCTCAGATACTCCCTGAAGTTAGAACTGAGAAGGCATGATGGCTGATTGGTTATGAAGGATGAAAGAAATATGAAAATCAAGACTTTTGTAATTTTTAGATTCATATAAAGGTGAGAGTTAAAAGGATTCATGCAAGTAAATGAGTTCTCCAGGACAGTGAATATGGGACACAAAGCAGACAGGGTCAAGTATTGTGCCTTGGAGCTACAGGAGAAGAGATGGTAAGAGGTTACTAAAAGAAAATGAGTATGTTCAAGAGAGTAGAAATTGAAGGAAAAAAAAGAGAACTAGAAAATCAGACAAAAGGAGTCAAAAGGAGGCGGTCAGCGGGTGGAACCTGGGGCAGAAAAAAACAGGGCATTTGGGTTAAAAAAACAAAACAAAACAAAATGAACATATAGTGAGCTGGGCACTGTACATAAATAATTCACTTAATTTTTATAATTCAGTTAATAAAATACTATTCCCATTTTATGTGTGAGAAAATTAAGATTTAAAAAAGGTTAGGACATCTGCTTAAAGTCACAGGTCTAATTTAAGTAGAGAAATGTGACTGTGATATGGGTCTCCATAAAGCTAAAACTTGTTTTTCCCCAATATATCACACTGTTTCATTTTTTTTCCTTCAATAATTATCTTCCTGCTATTTTTTTCCCCTTATCTATAAAATGAGGCTATGTCATAAAGTGATAATTCTGTAAACTGCAGCCCCATACAAAGGTTGTATCCTTTCACATTGCCAAATGCAAGGGCATAGGAGACAATATTTGGGTAGCAAGATGTTAACTTCAGTTAATAATTCTCAAAAATAAACACATAAAAAATCAACAATAGGTTCTGCCCCCAATCCACCCCCAACTGAATCTCTGCCCTGGGGTTTGAAGGCAAGCAGGTAAATGTGAAAACACATAAAGGACTTCCTTCCTCAATTTGTGCCGTGCTCCACTGCACTGTGTAGTGAAGCGAGAAAGGTCTGTGATGGTTTTGGAGTTCCTTCACCATTTGGTCCAATTTGTATTGTAATAAGTCAATGTTTCTAAAGTTGTGCAGGAAGGTGGGGTCATTACGAGTTTATGCATGAATGAAGTTTTTTCTGCCTTTAAAAAAAAAAGAAAAGAAAAGAAAAACAACGATATGGCCAGAAAAGCTATTAAGTGGAAAAGGGTAATTAGAAAAGGAAAGGCTGATCCAGTGAGGTTTTATAGAGAGGAAACTCATAAGCGCTGATTATGACAAAGAAAAAAATATGCTAGAGGATCTGATGTTGGAGACAGAAGACAGGTGGTAGACAGTTAGTTGGATTTTGTGTACAGGGTAAAGTTAAGCTAGCTCTCTTACAGTTTTAAATGCAGGAACGGTATGTGAGCAAGTACATTAATTCAATGTACTTGAAGTGCCACCATGTGGTTAGAAATAGTGAAACAATTTAAAATGCTAGCAGGAGACTGCTTTGGCTTTGTAGTATATACTAAACACCATAGCATCAAATGTTCCTTAAAAGGCATATTTAAAAAGAATGCTGTTAGTAAACTACCTATGGGGACTACCTTCTCACTGTTAGGATGATTATCCATCATGTTTTATGTTCAGGTAATTAGTAATTTATTGTCTGATAAGCCATAACTATTTGAGTTATTAAAAAGTTGGAGAAAAAAACAAAAACAACCCTATAGATTTTTTTGTATTCAGAGAAGGTCATAGGCTGGTTTCTGAGATATCTGAATGAAGAGTACAGCTGCCTGTGTAAGGGATAAAGAGAATTAAAAGTGTGAAGTGAATTTGCAAAGGAAACAGACACACCAGAAATGTGCCTAGTATAATCTTTGATATATGTATGGTATCTGAGAAAAAATATTTTTAGAAGGATACTGTCTTAAATTTTTCTGTTATACTATCAGACATACACAATATACTGAATATTCCAACAACATTTTTAATTTAAAAAAAAACAGGAAAAAATAGCTCACCTGTACTGTTTCGATTAGACTTGCTGAATAAAAAGGCATTGCCACTATATAAGTTAGGCTGTAGAAATTAAAACAAACTTATCAGTATACTGAAACAAGATGCTTACACTAATTTTTTTAATATCTACATTAATACATCAACATAATTTATACTCAAGCTTGAATAATATCTTCAAGGTTTTTAACTATTAATACCTATAGCCTAAAGATACTTCGGAGACCTGTAACATAAGATGCTTTACTCAACAATTAGAGATGAAAAATTAAGTATTAATAATAACACAGTGACAGCCTGTAAAGAAAATTATTTTAAACCAGTAAAATGTAGGCTTGTTTATGATTCACTGTTTGGACGTCTACCTGCACATAGCTAATGTAGCCTGTAAATCTGATACCTAAAATTTAGGTTGAGGGATCCATTCCATTGCTTGCCTTTTTAGTGATATCTCAACAAGGCTACTGTTCTGCTATTGTCCTATCTATTATCATTATCCATTCCCAGATTTCCCACCCTGCAGAGCTAAGCCAGTCTTCCATGGTAAGTGAAGTCCCCTTTTATTATTAAAAAACAATATTGTACAGCTTTGCAAAGTTGCCTCCTATTGCCACTATTTAGACATAGTAATATTACAACTTTGCAAGCCTGCAAAATATAGTTATTTAAAATAATGTCAAGGTGGGACTTACCTAACCCTATGGGCCAGGTCCTGGCAAGTAGTGGTTTTCAAAGTGAATGGAACATCACTAAGTAATAATGTGCTGGAATGTCCCACAGAGGGAGCCAGCAAGCTGGGGGGTTTCCAATTCCCAATCTTCAAAAAAAATTAAAAAGTGAAGAGTAAAATTCTAATCTATAAAAATGGTCAGTGTTGTAAAGTCACTAAGTGCCTTTAGGACTACGTTTTAATGACACTAAGGTTTTGTTTGAGTTTACTCATCACCATACAAATATAAATTTGTATGTCTGCTTACTAAGAGAATAATGATAATAATAAGAGTAATAATTTTCCTGGCAATTCAGGTTTAATAAGTTGAAGATCTCTGTTAACTTCCTAAGAACACAAAGAAAAATTAGGTTGTGATTTTAGCCTTTCAAATTAGAAGGGTTATTTAAAAGATAACATATATTTCAGAATTTTATTCCTAAATTCTATGTTACTTTTCTGATTAAGTTCTAGTCCCACAAATATTTCATTGCTCTACTTTCCTTCACTTTGTTTATTTAATAAGCTTTTTTTCAGTTCTAACACTATAAAAATGGATATATATTTCAATATAAATGCTGCTTTTGATACTTACGATTTCAGTAGAAGGTGTTCTCCTATTTGTTTAGGATTCCATTTATGTGAAATCTCCCTAAAAAATAAATAAAGTAAAAGCCATGTTTTCTAAAACATCTTGAATTAGCTTAAGCTTTAAAAAAAGTAATCAATTTTTAATTTTTTTTAATCTGTAGGAGAAATATATTCTCATGATGAACATTTTCCTTTTTGGGACCCGTCAAACAATTACAGTGGGTTGAAAAGAGAAAAAACATAGAAGGTCTTTCTGTATGTGCTGACAGAAGGGGATGATAGAGGAGGAAGAGTTATAACTGACTATGAAAATGAACATGAGACATTAGATAAGATGCAAAAATGATAGACTGAGGAAAACAATCGACGGGGAAGAGAAAGGTAAACAATAAAATAGGATAAAGGAATAAAAAAAGCTTTAAAATGTATGTAAGAATGAGAATTAGAAAACAAAACAAAATTAAGTAACTGTAATTCAGAATGACACATACATTTGTATAGCCCCTAATTTTCAAAGTGCCTTTACTTATTGAGATGACATTACTTTTGTGACCTTTATTATATTCTATTATCTTTTTTAGCTCCTACTATATGCCAGGCATTGTGCAAAGCACTCTGCATAAATTACTTCTAACCCTCACAATGAACCTATAACCCCCAATTTCATAGATGAGGAAATCGGCTCAGAGATGGTTCATAACTTACCCAAAGCCATGCAACTAGTTAGCGGTGCAACTTCGTCTAAACCATGGTCCGTATGACTTGAAGTCTATACTATCTGCCTGTACTGCCTCTCATCTCATTTGATACAAGAAGGAATCCTGTGAGATAAGCAGAGCAGGTACTGTCCTATTTCTTTTACTTATGAGAAAAATAAAGGTCAAAAAGATCACAGGTGGGCATATACCCTGAGAAAACCATAATTCAAAAAGAGTCATGTACCAAAATGTTCATTGAAGCTCTATTTACAATAGCCCGGAGATGGTAACAACCTAAGTGTCCATCATCGGATGAATGGATAAAGAAGATGTGGCACATACATACAATGGAATACTACTCAGCCATAAAAAGAAACGAAATTGAGCTATTTGTAATGAGGTGGATAGACCTAGAGTCTGTCATACAGAGTGAAGTAAGTCAGAAAGAGAAAGACAAACACTGTTTGCTAACACATATATATGGAATTTAAGAAAAAAAAATGTCATGAAGAACCTAGGGGTAAGATGGGAATAAAGACACAGACCTACTAGAGAATGGACTTGAGGATATGGGGAGGGGGAAGGGTAAGCTGTGACAAAGCGAGAGAGAGGCATGGACATATATACACTACCAAACGTAAGGTAGATAGCTAGTGGGAAGCAGCCGCATAGCACAGGGAGATCAGCTCAGTGCTTTGTGACCGCCTGGAGGGGTGGGATAGGAAGGGTGGGAGGGAGGGAGACACAAGAGGGAAGAGGCATGGGAACATATGTATATGTATAACTGATTCACTTTGTTATAAAGCAGAAACTAACACACCATTGTAAAGCAATTATACTCTAATAAAGATGTAAAAAAGATCAAAGGAGAGAGGCAGAATGCCAGGTCTGGAACCAAGGTCTAGGACTGCGTGCTTCCTACTATTTAGGTTACCTTTGGAAACCAGAAAAGAGAGGAGAAAAAGAAGAGAGGCAAGCTGAATGAAGAACAAAAAGGGAGAAAGTTATATCAAGAGAAAAATCAAAAAGGAGAAAAGAACATGGAGAATAAAAGGGAAAGTAAAAGGGAGGCGGTGGAGGGGGGGGAATGAAAAGGCAGACAGAGGGGATGGAAGGGAGGGGAGGGGAGGGAGGAAGGCAGAGTAACAGAGAAAAGGAAAATGTAAAATAAAGGGGAGACTGGCTGCCACCTGCTCCCCTGATGACATTGGCACCCATGTACCATGGCCACAGCAGGAACCTGAGAAAAACATTTTCTATTTGAAATGAGTAAGTATGACAATCATAAGGAGACAAAGGAATATATTTTATACTAAAAAGGTAAAGGAAATTAATCACTGATAATGTAAGTGCTCTAAAAACAAACTCAGTACACTTATGGCATGGGTGGTATGTGAACTTTTCTACATTTTTCTAGGAGACTGAAAGGTCTGCAGAGAAACTTTTAGACAACAGAACAACCATCTCTGATTCATCACATTCTGATTAAATTAATACCAGAATACTATATGAGGCCTGAACAACTATCAAAAAATACAGCTGGAATGACATTTAATGATTAAGACGAAAATTGTAAAAAAAGATTAGGCTACTTAACTTACTGACAGTGACTTTATGATTATAAAACAAAATATGCTAAAAGTTTTGGAAATTTTCTGGGCACTGCTATTACTCTTACTATGGCCTCAGAAAGGATTACCACAGGTTATTATGACATTAAGTTTGTGCACTCCATTAACATTATGGATAGATGGGTCTGTGACCTGCATTTCTGTAAGGACTGGGCCACCTTTCCTTTGAATACTAATTACTGCGGCCGGTTCGTAAGATTATTAGGATTAAGGTAAAAAGAGTGAAAAAAGAAATTTAGAATCAAGTATAAAAAAAACCCTGAGACGCTCTTCCTGGTATCTGCTTTCTACTCCTTTATAAAATGTGTAAAACTTATTGCCACAGCTCTAGAAATTTAAATTACCATAGTTAAATGCTTCAGGAAAAAGGGTAGTGTAAAAATCTACTTGTGATTAAACCTTTTTATATTTCATCATCAAATACCAAAATATATAAGTATATTTAACTCGCTATTTTCACAAGCAAAAACTGCCCTTCAAATGAGCAACAAAATTAAGTGAAGTGACTTACTTTTTATCAAAGTTTTTCATTTGACAGACTAACACACATACTCCCATGCATAATCAATACACAAAAGCAATAGAATTTTTAAATAATGCTCTATTTATACAGTCTACTTTCCATTGCCTCTTATTTTCCCGTGCTCAAACTGCCCTCTTAAAAAAAAAAATCTTCCCTCAATGTAACCCAAGCCCCTCATCTTCTAGCTCCTTCTCTTCATCTCTCCTCTTCACAGAGGACTGTCTAAACTTGCTATTTCCATGTCCTAGCTTCCCACTCACCCTGAACCCATTCCAAATCGGCTTCTACCCTATTATTCTACGAAAACAGCTCTTGCCAAGGTCCCCATGACCTCCACATCACTAAATCAAATAGGCATTTTAAGGTTGTGCCTTATTTGACCTTTCAGCAGCCAACATGCACTTGTGTTCTTCCCTCCTTCTGGAAGCACTCCCTGCCCCTGTATTCCACTATCCCATACTCTTCTGGTTTTTCTCCTCTCTTCTGGTCTCTACTTTTGACTCCTTTGCAGGGGCATTTTTCTGAACTCAGCAACCTATTCTGGAGTTCCTAAAGGCTCAAGCCCTGTTCTTTTCTTACTATATAAGTTACATTCCTTCCCCAGGCAATCTTACCCAAGATGATGCTTCAGAACCTCCCAAATCTATTATCTTCAGTTTAGACTTCTCTCTGTGTCAAAATGAACTTGTCCAAAATCAAACTTATAAGTTTTCTTTCTTACTCTTAGACCCTTTTACTGTTTCCTAATTGAGAACTTAATCAGAAAGGAAATCTATTCAATTGGAGAAAGAGTTCATTGTATTTAAAATGGAATGTGTTTAAGTCAGTGAATTCAGAGGAGTCATTAGGAGAAACAGACAACATGAGGAGAAAACAGTAAAACAGTACTGGTACAACTACAAATGTGAGATGAGTCAAACTAAGCTGGAGTTCAACTAAATGGATTCTGTGAGAGACTGAACTATACAGGTAGCCTTGGTTAGAGGTGCTCCTTATGTTAATGATTTGAGAAATGCCACATGGAAGGAAAGGGTACTTCAGGGTAGAGCAACACAAAGTCTAACTCACTCCACCTGGGGGAAGGTTTGGGGACGGATTTAGGAGGGATCTGAACAGTAGATAAAGAAAGAGATCACAGATGATGATCCTGGGCTTTATACATTTTTTTTAAAGTAATAAATACTGAGAAACTATAATGTGATCAGATCACAAATTCAGATGTGATCATAATCAGTATAAAAAAATACTGGTGAATCCAGACTGTCTCACCTATTGTACCTAGCGATCACCGTGAACCTCAGTCTCAGAGACCCTAGAGCTCATCCTCCTCAAGTGGTAACTTCTGTGAAATGCTTTGGGTTTCTGCTTTAATACTGTGTCTGCTATGACTTTGTTTTCCCCCAAGAAAAGTCAACCTTGCCCAAATAAGTTAGAATTAAAAAAAAAAATGTTTACACTGTATGTCTGAGAATGGCTTTATTTGACATCTAGTTACACGAGCCAAAATCCTAGAAGTCATCCTCGACACCTTGTCTATCATCAACCAACTTTAATCCATCACCAAGTTCCATCAATTTTACCTAAATATATCTCAAAATCATCTATTTACATCCATCTCAAAAGATACCATCCTAGTCCTAGTTACCATATTTCTCACCTAGATGGTGATAGCTTATGAACATGTATCCTTTTCTCTACTTTGGTCCTCCTGCAATCTTTTTATCTCCACTTACAATGACCCTTTAGAAACATAAATCTGATCATGTCATTGACTCCTGCTTAAAACTCCTCAGTATTCTTAAAGTGGCCTACAAGGCCAAGCACAGATTGGCTCTTGCTCTCCATCCCGCTCTCTGAGCTCAAACCCTATGAGCCTTCCCTCAATTACAGGAATTCTCCACATTCCCCCTGCCTCATTGCCTCTGCACCAACTGGTCTGTGTCTCCTGAATGCCATTCAGATCTCAGCTTAAGTGTCATTTTATTAGGGACACTGTTCCTAACACTCTAATACTGTCACAGAACCATATTCTTTTCTTTTAGAGAACAAGCCTCAGTCTGTAATTATTCATTCATTAGTGGGATTATTTTACTTAACATATGTCCCTTACACTAGATCCCAAGTTTCATGGTCACAGGTACCTTTTGTTTCTTCTCCTCACTATATACCTGATTTCTAGCACAGAACCTAGCACATAGTAGGGACTCAGGAAGTATGAGCTAAATAAATAAATGAAGTAATGAGTGAGATTTACCACAAAAATTTAACCCAAGTAGAATACCACAAAGATAACCTTTTCTGTCTTCTTTAATAAGATTCAAGACGACCAACAGACAATACATACCCACACAACTGATGTGTCTGTATGTCTACAGAGTAAGAAAGTTAGATAATAAAATTTAACAAAATTTTGTGCCTTCTCATTCTCATTTCTCTTTTCCCTTCCCTTCAACCTGAAGTTAAAGTTACTACTTCATCTCTGCTTTACAGAAATGGTGTTACTTGCCTAAGGTCCCAGAACTAAAAAGTGGAATAGTCAGGACCAACAGTGTTCTGACTGCAAATACAGAATTCTTTACTCTTTGCCGTACAGAAATTACTGAATTTTGTTAAATTTTTATAGAATTTTGTGTTTGTGGGAGAACTTCAAGAACATTTGATGACAAGTACTAAGTTTTGATCTTATCCTGTGATATGAAAAACAGTGGGGTGAATAAAGTTAGCCAAGGGCAGAAATTCAGATTTTTTTAAGTATGAGAGGAGAAACTTAGCTGACAAAACATTTTTTGTTTTCTCTGTAACACTCAGCAAAGCTGTGTTAAAGGAACTTCAAAGCTATGTGGTCCTTTGAAAGCAATCACACTAGCAAAAAGCCTGATATCAGTCTCTTCTGCCTTTACTTCCTTCCCTACAAAGACTGATTCTCAGATTGAGATGCTAGTGGCTGCACCTTCAACTACCTCACACTTCCTTGTCAATCCAAAAAATTCACCCTGCCAGGGGCCAATTCTGGAATAACAAACCACTCGGTCTTTAACTCCATCCCTGGGACTTACGGTTGATACAGAAAATCCCAGAGTCCTGCCAAATAGCACCTAAACAAATTTATGATCTCCAACATTATCTCTTAACATTATTTTCATGTATTCCTTGTAAGGTCCCCTTTCTGTTACTCATAGCTGTGACTGTCTCAAATGTCTATCATTGTTCTTATACTCTATCTGAACCACCCCAGTACTCATCCTTCTTTCACCTGTATCCTGTTTCAGAGAGAAAAAATATACCCATAATCAAACATTCCAATTTCTCTACCCTCTCCCTCCAAAAGAATCTACAATTCTGATTCTCCTCTCGGCTTGCAGGCCACCACTGTCCTACAGCTTACTGCTCTTGTTAATTTTTCTTTGTGAACATCTCTTACTACTCCCCTCTATTACCTCTCCTACCCCCCCCCCCCCCCCACACACACGTGCACTCACACATCGCCCAGGATTCTGTCCTTGGTCCACTCTCTGTCATCTAGTCTACACGTCCTCCTTAGGGAAATTCATCCATCCTAAAGCTTCAACTGCCATTTTTGTGCCACAACATTCAAAGCTATGCCTCCAGCTTTAAATTGTCTCTGAGACTCTGATCCACAGTTCCAACCACTACTAGGCATGTCCCCCTAGATGTCTCGCATGAATCTCAAACTTTATTTATCCAAAAATATTTATTTATTTATTTATTTGGCTTCATCAGGTCTTAGTTGGCAGCATGCAGGATCTTTGTTGCGGCGCGCGGGCATCTCTCGTTGTGGCGTGCGGGCTTCTCTCTAATTGTAATGCTCGGGCTCTAGTGTACGCGGGCTCAGTAGTTGCAGCACGCGGGCTCAGTTGCCCCGCAGCATGTGGGATCTTAGTTCCCTGACCAGGGATCGAACCCGCGTCCCCTGCATTGGAAGGCGGATTCTTAACCACTGGACCACCAGGGAAGTCCCTCAAACTTCATTTATTAACAGTTACATTCCTTATGTTCTTTCCGACTCCAACTTACTCTTCTTTATAAATTCTCCAACTCAATTCCAATCTAGAAATCTGTCACTGCTGCTAATTCACTCTCCCATAATCCCATTCCCAATCTATCACCAGTTATCTATTATACTTTAGAAATGTTTATACAGCTCCTACCTTCTGTTCTACTCCATAGTTCAGACCCTTCCCCGTCTGGCCTAGATTACTGTAACAGTTCTCCATAAGTCTCTGTCTACAACACTCCGTGTTTTAAAAAAACACTGCCACTTGAGAAATCCTTGATCAAAGAAACCATATATTAAACAAAAAGAAACAATCTCCCCCTTAGATTCCCAACTCCATTGACAATAAAGCCTAAGTCACTTACAAAGGCAGAACCATGCTTTAGTCTAGCACCTCAACCTCTTTTCACATTATTCTACTTCACACATGCCCAATATTCTAAGCACAAGACACTTCTTATCACCTGGACCTTCCAACTTCCATAAAATTGGGCATGCTGTGACCTCTACTTGCTCTCCTTCTCTGCCAAGTTATTTCCTACTCATAATTCCAGATCTAGCTCAGATTTCAGGCTAAAAAAATCTCTGCCAAGAAATCCACGCAAAGTGTCCCCTGCGCTCTGAAAGGGGTTTGTTTAATTACGACACTAATCACGATGTAGTAAAATTTGCTTACATGTGTCTCCTTCACCAAGCTAGCCACTTAAATAACAGGAATTGCTCACATACTCAGGTTTGTTCCTTAGTTGATAATTGTTGATATACAGCAGTAGGAGCTGAAAGAGCTCAATAGATATCAGACCAGGAAGCATTTTCTTTATCACATACTAATTCCATAAGATATAATTAATTATTTATTCTCAGTTTCTTCTCTTAGCTACTTCAGGCAAGTTTTCAAATTCAAGGTATTTTTAGCAACTACCATATTCTGTCATATATTTAATATGAAGTTAATCTGAGAAAATGCCAAAAAGGTACCTCGGTAAAGGTGTGAATTCACTGATTATTCCCTCTGCTCCAAGTGTGACTCCCTGAACAATAAATGTACTTCCCATTCCTTTCCAAAGAGCCCTTGGTCCCTAAAATGAACAAAATTTATGGTTATTTCTGTTAATGCCTAAAAAAGAAACCAAAAAAAGGTCTTAATAAAACTTGATATTGAATGTTTACTGATATTTTCCAGTAAGGCATTATTCAAAAGGACATTTTAGTAAAGAACTACAACTAAAGTAAGTCCTATCATTATTTTAACATTTGTTGGGTGGCCTACATTTAGGTGAAGATAAACACTCCAATTAATTAAGTATCTCTAATATGGATTAAATACCCCTAATATTTAATTAATTTTGGCAAAGGTGTGAATTTACTGATTATTCAGTGATATCAAGAAGATGTCATTATCATGTTAAGTTAGTTTTAGTATAAGAGTTACAATATCTTTAATAACTAAAAGGAATTATTGTTGCTTTAATTATTACTAAGGCAAAATGGCACATTACAAATAACTTTAATAGAATGTACAGACTAATTCTCACCTGAGTTTTGTTGAAGCTGTACATAATATTGATGACTGTAAATGGAGTGAGATGATAATGCCGAGCATGGTAATTAACCTGTTAAAAAGATATTTCATGATTATTTTCTGTTATTGTCTTGTTAAGAAATAAAAAGTCATGAAGGATACAGTGAGTCATAGCATAAATGAAAGTTCAATTCTAAAGTCAGCATAAATTACACATAAGGAAAATTACTCTTGAAAGTGCTTTAAATAACTTAAAAGTACAGTACATGAGGTTGTACAAATATAGCCCTGAAGACCAATGTGTGATATACATAGTAATGTAGAATATATAATAAAGAGGGCCTTGGTATTTGATATTTATGTTTCCTTAAACACCAGAATTACATTCAGTGTGGCAAAATGCTCATGCCATTAACACACAGGAACCACGAAGAACTCAGGGAACAGCAGATTCCTGTCTACCAATGGCAAGCAATAACAAGCTACAAACAATTGGTAAATTATGAACTCAGTATAGGGGGTCAGAACTAATACTTATTAAGTGAAATAATAAAAAAGAAAGTATCAGAATGCATCATACATTCTGAAGGTATTATTTGCTAAAACATTTTAAAAAGTTACTTATATAGAAGTATACACTGGATCAAAATGTGATATTGTCACAATGTAAAATATATGCCTGAAATTCACTTTTCTAGCGTACATAGCACTGTTAGGGCTATTTAAATAGCTGTTTCTCTCTTTATGCTTACTTTTTGGTGCTAAGCATAAACAGCTTAATTTTTAACTATTTCTATCTTGTCTAACTCAATTTTCAAAGAAGATAAGTTATATTATAGGAGCTTTTGCCAGTGTGGTCCACTAGCCCTCAAGGGCCTCATTACCCTTTCAGGGGATTGACAAGTTCAAAATTATTTTCTTGATACTAAGGCATCATCTGCCTTTTTTACTGTGTTGACATTTTCAGTAATACTGCAAAAGCAATGGTGGGTAAAATTACTCACTCCGTAGCATGCATGAAGGCAGTGGCACCAAACTATATTTTTGTACTTATAGTATTCTTTATCCGACTCACTTATAAAGAGGCAAAAGCCACTTTCCCTAAAGAATGCTCTTGGTGAAGCAGTAAGACACATTTATTTTATAAAATGCTGACTCTTGAGTACACATCATCTTTCTCATTAATATTTTGTGTGTTGCATAATGAAGATGGCTGTCATAAGGAAAAGAACTTGTCTGATGGAGTTGTGAGCCTGAACTAACCACTTTTTTCATGGATCACCATTTTTTTCTGGAAAAACTAACAGAATATAGTTATTCACATTTGGGATAACATGTTTTTAAAACTGAACAAAGTGGGCTTGTTGATTAAACAACAACAACAACAACAGTATTTGTTGCCAATGATAAATTTGAGCTTACAAGCAAAAATTATAATTCTGGAAAACCTATATCCACTATCAAGATCGTATGAAAACTGAAACGCTTTTCTGGTGAGACTGGTAGTGATTTTAATGACGGTGGTCTTTTGATACTGTAAAATCAAATGTCATAACATTTAGATGATCTATATAATTCAGTAAATCAGTATTTTTCAATTAATCAATGCATGATGTAACAGAAGCATGCACACGTAAAAAAACTATTCAAGGGCTTCCCTGGTGGCACAGTGGTTGAGAGTCCCAGGTTAATCTCTTTGTCAATGGGATCTTCAGATAAATAGACTAGTTACACTTACTAGGAGGAAGAGACTTTATCTAGAGTGCTCTTAGGACAGCCCTGGCTAAAGGATTACTATAAATAAACCTGAGGGCTTCCCGGGTGGCGCAGTGGTTGAGAGTGCACCTGCCGATGCAGGGGTCACGGGTTTGTGCCCCAGTCCGGGAAGATCCCACATGCCGCGGAGCAGCTAGGCCCGTGGGCCATGGCCGCTGAGCCTGTGCGTCCGGAGCCTGTGCTCCGCAACGGGAGAGGCCACAACAGTGAGAGGCCCGCGTACCACACACACAAAAAATCTATTCAACATGAAGTACAAATGAATAGCTTTTAATGTAACAGGGTATAAAAAGTTGATTGACGTGGTTTCAGATTTCACATTGCAAATAACTTTTAAAAAGTTACCGCTTATTGAGTTTTGGTGTAGTATCAAAGAAGAATATCTGCCAATTACCTCTCATTTCTTTCAAAAACAAAGTGTTGCAACAAATTGACTATAGAAGCAGATGTGAAAATCTGGCTGCCTTCTATTATGCCAGACATTAAAGGTATTTTCAAAAAAGTAATAGTGATTTTTCATAAAAAGGCTATTTATGTCAGTATCTAATGAGTTTATTAATATTTTAATGAATTAAACATATATATACGCATGCATAAATTTTTCCAGTTTGCGGTTCTGAAATGGCAAATATTGATAGATATAATCCATATAAACAATTGTTTTTTGGAGACCTCAATAATATTTAAGACTTAAGAGCTTTCAAAGACCAAAAAGTTTGAGAACTGATATATTATAGATTTTGGTGAATGTCACATGGGATAATGGTTACATGGTCTCAGTCATTTATCTGAGGTCTGTACTTCAAATCAGGGTTAGGATTACTGTTTAGAAAATCATAGAAAGTACATTTACCTGACATTGGCGGCGTAGAACAATGCAGGGATGGGCCAGTACATTTTCTGTAAAAAGACTATAAAATAATAATTTATAACATTTAATTTACAACACATATAAATCTGAATTTATTCTTGAAGAATCATGCATTATTTACATTATGCATTTTTCTTAAAATTAAAAAAAAAAGTTTTCAAATGTCTAGACATGTTTGCAAATCACTGTACCAATAACAAGATTCAATATGAAAAAAACTAAAGCCAGATTCGCAAACTGGTAAGCAAAAGCAACAACATATATAATATTAATATATACAGTATAAAGATGAAACTACATCTTGTATGCCTGATATGGAAAACTTCTTTCCTAGACAATTTAAATGCCCCTTTCCATCTCTTTCAGAGGATGTCCTATGAACAAAGTTCCTATCAGAAGGGCCATCTGCCCTATAAATTCTGTAAATTTTGGTTTTGATGTACTTTGCACTTAAGTTATATGGATTTTAACGATCATGTAAGTAAAACCTAGATGCCATATTGCTAAATATCTTGTTATAATTCTAATGTTCAGCAAAAAGGTTCAGTGCACAATTACTTTTTTTTGGGAGACAAGATTAGATTTTATTTTATTCTTTGGATAGATACATGAAACTTCTTACAGTATTCCTTACAAAATTATTTTGTGTTTATAAAATTGAATGACTATTCTCTATCCTTACTGGGAAAAAAAATCAAGTTATCGATTTTAAATAATACATTTTTTCTGCAAAATATTTTTCAATATTTTAACTACTGCTCTAAAGAAAGCAATACTAATTACCTAACATTATAAATTAAAGAAAGAACTTTAAATAAAAACTTGAATTAAAAATCTTTAGACAAAATTACCTTGCAAGTCCAATACCAAATCCAGCAAATCTATTCAGCTGTTCTAAAACAGAAGGAATAAGGTTACTCATAACCATTATTTAGATTTACTGTGAAAACAACAAAAAGTATTTTCTTTTTAACATGATATTCATTTAAACTCAATGTACCAAAATCAAATTCTGATAGGGGCCAGAGAGGCCATCTGAGGAAGTGAAGAGCTCTGTGGAGGCTTGTGGCAAGTTGCAAGGTGTAGACCTTCTAAAGGCCCAACTGCTTTTCAGCTCCAATCCATTGTTGCCACATGGGACTCTGAGTCCAAGGTTTCAAAGCTGTGATTTTTCTAAAGAGATATTCTCATTTTTATATAGCATCTTCCAATCTTAAAATACTAGCAACTATTTTAAAAAGCGTTAAAATGTTGTGTGGACCAAATCAAACACGTTTGCAGGTAGAATCTAAGGGCTACCAGTTTTCAACTTCTGACTACAAATAATTTAAAATTTTTTCTAGAGAAGACTCTGACTGATACTTTCACCAACTTTACCTCCCATGTTGTAAAATTCGTCCTTCACTGTTACTGATGGAGAGCATCTATGTTAAGCCACTAGTTGCAAGCAAAAATACCCATGAAAATTATTAAATTGAAAGAGCACTTAGGGTAACTGAAATGGGTAAATAAGGCTCTCTTCTCTATTTCCCCAAGTTTTAAATACTTTGATAGTAGCTGCTTAATTAGGTCTCGGTGATAGACTACTGCGTCCATATGCACTATAGCTGATGGCATATCTATAGTCTTATTAGAAGAGTTTACAGCTGGAAAATTCCTATGCATATGTCAAAACAGAAAATAAAACCTTTTTCTGCTTAATTGGAAAACTTAAAATCATAATGGTGAAATATCACAACCCCAAGAGACCAGACATTAAATTTCAGCTATAATACAATATTCACAAGGGATAATTTTTCTCTCATCCTCTTTTCTCTCTCCCCCTCTCTTCTCCAATCCCTCCCTCTCATCTCTGCTCTTTTGAATGAAGTAATGCCCTCACTATTCCCTGACAGACAGAACAAGGTCACGTAAACAGTCTCTAGGGAAACCACTTGGTTCACTATTGCCTTGAAAAACGTGCAAGGTAGAGAGAAGCTTCTTTTGCCCAATTAAGATACTTTCCTTCTTTCAGCTTTTCCCTTTTTGTGTGTGTACAGGTCATCTGCTAATATTAACAGAAAATACCACTGACATTTTCTGGAAGGTGTTAGGAAGGTTTACTATTGTTAACTGTGTAAGTCTCTCAGGCTTCTATCCTCTTTGCAGTTATTCACCAGCCTCTAAACTGCTGCAAAAAGACCCCACAAAACCCTGGCTATTAAGAGCTCCTCCTCATTGTAACCACCAAAGCATACATTATGAAAAGATAAAAACATCAGCTTTACTGCCTAAGAAGGTAACTGTGTAGCAATCGTACATGCGTTTTCAATCATTTATAACTTTCCAGCACTCCTTCTGGGACCTGTAGAAAAAAAAAAACTAGACAGAGTGAAAAAACTAACTGTATGACACTGAGTAAGTCACTGATCCTCCTCCATCTATCCTCACTGGATGACATTTGAAGTCTATTCCTCCCAGTAACCCAAATCAAATAAATATTACTGTATTTCCAAGTCAAAATCAAAGAAATGAGAATACAATTTATGTCTGGAATATACATAATATTTAAGGATGTAATCTATTATTTTAACAATTTCAGGAGAATGGGAAGATGCAGGCATTATTTCCATTTTACGAATACAGCAGATGTTGACAATATCTAGATCATACAGTGTTGAAATTAAAACAAGTCTTCTGACATGCTACAGAGAATAATTATGTCTTGATTCCAAAGACTTATCTTGAAAGTCTCTTAGTGATTTTGACTTTTCAGTGGAGTTAAGTCAGAGAAAGAAAGCAGGAGGTGCGAAAATACAGGGGTAGTTTGGGGATCTAGAACAGATACAATTACTATGAGTAAATGGAAAAAGGAAAGATACACTTTTAGCCTACTGTGTGCTCCATACTGTACTAGGCATTACTCACACCTCATTGTTTTGACACTTATAAAACCCTGAGTTATTCTTCTACACACCTTAAAGATGAGAACACTAAGAAATCACAGAGGTTAAGAAAGTCTCTCAGCTTTTAAGAGTGGTAGCGGCAGATTTGAGCCCAAGACTGCCTTTGCTGGAAATACTTCTCTTTCCTTCCACATTTCAAGGAAATATAGCTGTTGGTCAATTAGGTATTTTTCACATAATTCCCAATAAACAGTAAACCATTTCCGTCTTTCTTGATTCAGGTCATGGAATGTAATATGCCAAAACCCTCCGAAATCCTACCATGCAGACCACAGCTAAGTCAGTCGTCTTCTTTTGCAGGTGATCCCGGAGAAAACATTGGTGTAAAGAAGCGGGAGGAATCCCGCTTCAGGGGCAGAGGACTAAAGGAGGGCAGAGGGTGTGGCGCGCGATAGGTCGGGACGCCCGGGAGGCGGGACCCTCCGCGCGGCTTCCGGGGTCTGCAGGACCCGTGCTGCGGCTCCCCACTCCACCCGCCCCTACCGTGCGCCCCAGGTCCCTCACCGCTGCTCTGCCCGGGCACGCCGCCGCCGCCGCCGCCGCCGCCGCCGCGGGGAAAGGGTTCCTCTGCTGGGCCCTCGAGCGGGGTGGAGGGGGCGGGCACACCGTAGGGCGGGCTCTTCTCGCCCCAGTGCAGGTTGCGGCTACCCGGGATGTCTGGGGGGGTTGTCACCCAGTGGCTCAGGTCCGACGCGGAGCTGAAGGACCTTGCAGGGAAAGCGTCGCCAAAGCCCTGCTCATCCCGGGCACCACTCCGATAGCCCAAGCCATCGAATCCGTCCGGGCGCCGCGGATGCATCGCAGACGGGGCAGGATGAGAAGAGCCCACCCGGAGCCCACCACCCCTGGGGCCACGGCGACCTCGGGCCACACAGCTTTTCCTCCTCGGCAGTCGCCGCGTCTGGGGAAATTCTGACAACCGGAAGTCACGTTACAAATCCGGACGTTCAGGGAGCACGTGATCGTAGTCTCTTCCGGCGGCCATTAGAGACATGGTTGCTAAGGTGACGCGGCAGTAACTCTCAAAACTGCGGCCCTTAGTAGGGAGTGGGAAAATGACTGTGGGGTTAATGAAACACAGTACCGAGAGATGCTGTGAGGGAATTTGGGCAAGAGGTGCGGCCTGGATGAGAGGAAGTCGAATAAAGATGTTTCCTAGAGGGAGTTGACGCGTGGGTGGAGCTGACGCCAGAAATCTGATCTCAGCCAGAAATGCCCCGCCCCACACAAAGGCCCCAGGTCTAGCTCTTTCATTTCTTCGCTGGGCTGGTGTCCCGCCTGCCACGAAGGAGCTATTAGAGGTTAGAGTTGCGGGATGTTCGTGTATCTGGCTTTGCCTCCCGCACTTAGCGTTTTGGGTAAAATCTGTTGAGAGATCTGGTTCGGCCCAGTGAACCCAAAAGTATTGTGGACGGCTAGAGCAAGCGTTAGAATAGAACGTCGCGGGAGAAAATCCGCTTCTTCCCCTCCCCTCCGCAATCTACCCCAAGAATATAAACTGTTCTCCGGGATTTAGGAATTAAGCATTTTGCTTTTCTGAGGCCACAAAACAACTATAAATAGTTTTCTGTAGCTTTTTCTTATTTTTTTTTCTGCTGCATCTAAATCACTCAGGGTATTTAAATCCAAAGCCATACTGTTCAAAATCGAGACCCTAGTTAAAAAATTAAGAGGACTTCTAAAGGGAGTCTCCTACTACCTGTTTTCATCAGCTCCATGGGCTCTTCTGGCAGCATCTCTCTCCCTAGATGTGAATGAGCCTAACATGGGTTCTTCCTGTGTCCCTTCTGACCCATTGGACTCCCAGGATTCTGAAGGCTTTCGGAAGAGAACCCTGACGCACTATTCTGAATCTTCCAGAAGCCAACCTTTTTAAAAAGTGATTATCAACTTCGGCATAAGTAGATTGACATTCTTTTTTGTTTTTCCAGTACGCGGGCCTCTCACTGTTGTGGTCTCTCCCGTTGCAGAGCACAGGCTCCAGACGCGCAGGCTCAGCGGCCGTAGGCTCACGGGCCCAGCCGCTCCGCGGCATGTAGGGATCTTCCCAGACTGGGGCACGATCCCGTGTCCCTTGCATTGGCAGGCGGACTCTCAACCACTGCGCCACCAGGGAAGCCAGACATACTTAAATTGAGTTGTAATGTGGCTGGGGCAAATGTATTGAGTCATTTCCTTAGTAAGTGTATCCAGTATTACTCGGGTACTAATACCAAATTACTGTGTACCTAGTATCAAATTAGTTACTGGACGTAATAAAAATATTTCTGTGTTCCTTAAGAATGATTGGCTCAGGTCCAAAACGTATTGTTTATTAAAAGAAGGAGAAAAAGGCCTGTGTGTGTGTGTGTGTGTGTGTGTGTATACATACTTATATAAAAACAATGGCATCTCACAATTTCACATCTACCTCAGTGGAGAAAGGATGAGTTATTAAAAGGAGGACAATTGGGTAGCCACTTGAGGGGAAGAAACAACAGCCTCACCTCGCAGCTTACTCCCGGATGAATTCCAGCTATAATATATTGGGTTTTTTTTTCCTTTAGTTTTTGAAGATTTAATATTGGAAGAAAATAATTGGTGAATATTTTTCAAATAGTGGATTGGAAAACTTTCTAAAAGTGACAGCAAAGTCAAAAGCCATGTAGGGAAAGAGTAATCAACCTGACCATATAAACTTTAAATTTCTACATGATAAAAAAGTTAAAACATAATAATCAAAACTTAAAGACAAACCACAAACTGGGAAAATTACATTTTAACATGGTTTAGACAATGGGTCACTTTATTGTAAAAAAGAGCTCTTACCAGTAAGGAAAAATTAGTTGAAATGTAAGCAAAGGACATGAAGAGGCAATTTATAAAAAAAAAAAATGCAAATGTTTAATAGTTACATGAACAAATATCTGCCCTCTAGTAACTGAAGAAAGGCAAATTTGAATAATAACCATTTTTCCTCTATAAAAATGACAGTGTTTAAAAGGGAAATGTACATTATTATGCAAAGTGAGAAAAAAGTAGCTCTCATTCATTTCTGGAATGGTATAAAATATAATGTTTTGATGGAGGGCAGTTTGGCAGTTTGTATCAAAAACCATAAAAATGATATCTTTTGACTCCTAAATCTTAGGAAACACATATAGGGTGTAAATATTTACTTATGCACATGTTCATGACATAAATGCCCATAATAGGAAAAATTGTCAGGATTTTAAATATCAAGTAATTATTATGCATTAATAATTAAAATGGTACATCCATATGGTCCTTTAATTAACGTACATTTATTGAGCACCTAACTGTACCAGGTACTGTTTTAAGCAATGTGGATAGAATGATGAATAAGCCAGATCAAGTCCCTGCTTTGTTAGAACTGACATTCTTTTTGGGAGGCAAATAACAGGTAAATATATCATGTCAAATAATGAAACAAACATATACTACGATGTTAGGTAATGACATGTATTATATTTTAAAAATTAAATGATAGAGGCAGAGTTTTTAGATTGGGTGGTCAAGGAAGATTATTGAAATAAAGATTATTTCTCTGAGGAAATAATCTTTAAACAGATCTAAATGAACTGAAAGAGTGAGCCATATATGACAATCTGGGAGAAAAAATTTCAAGGCAGAGCTAAGTATAAGGTCCTGATGACAAATTAGGTAGCCAATGAGCAAGGACTCACTGAGAACTGAAAGGAGGGCAGGGGCCAAATTTTGCAGGGCCTTGTTGGTGATAGACAAGAATTCAGGTTTTTTTAAGGTGACCTTAACAATGTTCTAGAAGGATCAACCTGGCTTCCGTATGGGGCAAAAGTGGAAGTCTCCTCTACTTGGCAGGCCATTGCAAGCTGCTGAGGTAAGAGATAATAGTAATCTGATGGAGACTGATAGTGATGAAGGAGGTGACAAGGGCTAGAGTCAGCATGTTTAAAGATTACAAGAGAGATAGATATCAAATGACAAGTGGACATGTTAAATTAAAAATACTGTGCACGGTATGATTTCACTTTTGTAAAAATAATAATAAAGATGCACACACAATGAAAGGATATATGTTATGTCTGGGTGTAGGATTGCTTATGAGTTTTATTTTTTTACTTTGCATTTTCTAATTGTTCTAAAATAGGGTTTTTATTTTTGCTAAGAAGAAAAATTATTTTCAAAAAAATTAATAGATTTAATTATGGGACAGCAATAAAGTTCTTTCTAGGTTATTAAATCTGTTCATAGCATTTAATCAGCAGTCTCTAGAGCACTATCAAAGTCCTTTCATCCTATATTTCTTTAAAATCTTTTAAAAATAATTATGTTGAAATGGTCCAGAGTGTATGGCTTCAAACTAGTTTGAGAAAGACACACAGAAATTAATACACGTAATTCTCTATAGCATTTAAAAAGATGGCCAATATGCCTTTTATGAGATTAACGGTATAATATTTGTATTATCTGTTTTGGCATAACAAATTACCCCCAAACCAAGCAGCTTAAAACCTTTGTTATCTCGTAGTTTCTGCAATTCGAGAATTTGGAAATGGCTTAGATTAGTAGTTCTGGCTCAGGGTTTCTCAGATGTTGCAGTCAAGACTTCAACTTGGGGTATAGTCATTTTAGACTTGACTGGGCTTGACTGGGACTGGAGGATCCATTTCTAAGTTATCCTGCAAAACATTGTGGAATTATTGCTGGTTTGTTGTTAGGAGGTCTCAATACTTTGCCACATGGATCTCTCCATAGAAATTCTCAAGTGTCCTCATAACAATACAGCTGGATCCTTCCCAGAGCAAATGATCTTAGAGAGAGCAGGGATGAAGTCACACTCTCTTTTATGACCTAATCCCACCTCATCACTCCTGCCACATTCTATACTCCAGTGAGTCACTAAATCCAATCCATCACTCAAGGGGAAGGGATATAGCTTCATCTTTAGAAGGGAGGGTTATCAAATAATTTGTGTTCATATTTTAAAGTCACCACAATTAAACCATTATATAACAGTTAATGGATAGAAGATATTGTAAGCACCAAAAATTATTAGGAACATTTACACACAATCATTAATAAAATGATATGGATTAAAATTTTTAACTTGTTCCTTAGTAAATAGATCTGAAAGATTAGTTTTGGGGAAAAGAATCATATGATAGAAATATTTATAATCATGAAACAGTATAGATATTTTTGAGTCCAATCATTATTCACTTAGATTTGAGTCAAAATACAAGTGAAGATTAGCAGACTATTTTGACAGTTTTCAAGAGTTGGCACAGAATGATGTGACCTGCTAAACAAAAGTACAGTACAAGCAGGTCATTCATTTATATTAATATTTTACTCAGAAATTCTGACACTGAATAAATTCAGCTCACAGGATAAAATAAAAATCATCTACATTTCTATTCAAGAATTCACCCAGCACTACGTATTAAGTATGTACTATGTTTAAGTCACTGTATTAGGTACTGTGATGCAGCTACCATTTTCGAGGATGGAATCTGAAGATATTTTAAATATTTTATTTCTAGAGCATATGTGTGGGCCAATAAATAGTTTTCACAGTAAGTTTTAATATGTTGTAAGCCCAGCCAAGCCCTCCTGTGCTTGCTTCTTTTTCGTAATTTGTTTTGGCTAACCTGCCATATATTTTTTCAGATGAACTTTAAAATCATTTCATTTTTCACTCTCACTCTCCTAAAACACACACACATACACACACTTTGAGATTTGAAGTGTACTTGCATAAAATTTGTATGGTAACCCTAAGAGGTTTTTTTAATTCTGTGAAATATTTCCATCAAAGATTCATGGTTTTCTCTTTGCTGAGGGCTATATTTATGCCACTAAGTGTTTTCTTCCAAAAACATGATATATATTTCTATTTATTGA